ATTTTGTTGTGTAGCTTGTGAGACTGCTTGTTGCCCTGTCACTGTACCCCTTCCCTGGCGATGGAAAGGTCACAAGGACACTGTAGAAAAGCGTTCCCTAGTGTGATGGCGCTTTTTAAATGATCCGACTCAAAATGAGGAGGAAAGACAGCACGATTTAGTGTGGTGTGATGTCCCAGCTCAACCTGCCTCCCCGAGCAGAGAGGAGCTCTTGTTTCCTGGAGGATGTGTTTCTGAGTGAGAGCTCCTATCCGATCGCTGCCAGGCTGACGCTGAACAGTAAAACATGTCTGTTTGGGGAGTATGCATGTCTGCTGGGTGAAATTCACAGGGGCAGCCAGAGGAAGCTCTGAGATGGATGTAAGGTGGGATTCAAAGGATTAATTGCATTGTAACACAGCTTCAATGCCAAAGACACTTCATTTTGAGCTGGAAAACACTGAGGATGAACATAAGGAGACTATGCCCATCTCCAATTAAGCTTAAGCTAACCAGTGCTAGTTGTGTGCTCCAAGCCCATCACTGACAGGTATCTAGCTTGCTTTGCAGTGTGCAGCTCCAGCCATGGATCAGACAGTTCAGGGAGGAGGAATCCTTTCCAAATGTGGCTGGCACAAAAAGGCAGCACATCAGCCTTGTGACGCTGCAAAGCCTCTTAGTAGCCTATTGTCTTAGCCAACTCCGTTGCCAGCACCTGTGAAACAGGGATGGCAAAATCTCTGATGGGTGCTTTGTGCTTTGCCTGCAAAGTCAGTCGCTCTTGTAAGATGCTCTGAGGGCCTCAGAAAGATCATTCACTAAAAAAAAAGGGCTAATATCTGCTTTATCAGGACATGCTTCCTTTATGCAATGCGGACTAAGCCAGGCAGAGAGAATGTTATCGTTTATTTTAACCCCAGGGTAACTTACTACTGAGTGTCATTCTACTTGGCGTGCTCTTTTAATACTGATTATGCCAATAGCTTGAGCAAATAAGCTGGAAGTTCCTATGGTTCATTCTTTGGGAAAAGGTCGTTCACCCCATGCTGTAAATGGACCCACTAAAGAGGTGTGTTTTTTTCAGGGGCTGGAGCAAACCTCACCTGTTGGACTGTCCTTCACACATGACTCAGGAGCAGAATGAATCACAGCTCATAGCACACCAAGGCAAGGAGGAAAGGCGACCTTGTTGCCATAGTAAGGCGCTGACGGGTGCTCGGAGGAGACGTCTTCAGACAGCAGGGCTTAAAGGAGAAATGTAGCTTCCTCTCTGCTGGGAACTGCATGTTTCTGGTGAGTTAGCGGAGATTAACGGACATTCCTGGTGCACTAGCTGGTGGGTTAATTTATAGCTATCTGTGAAGAAAGGCTTATTTATTTATCTAAGTTTGAAAGCTCGGATCCTTGGAAATTTTAAGCAAAGGCTGTATGACTTGTTTAAGGAGAGACTGAATGGCAAGTGAGAAGCAGGCTGGGATAACTCCTGCATATAAACAGCCTGGAAAGCAGTCAAAGGAAAATATTTAATATAACTCAGATTTGCTCTTTAACTTTTGACTTTACAAAGGTTAAAAAATAGTACAGACTGCCTTCTTACTTTAGTATTTTAAATACTAAACATTTTTCTTGTGTTCTTTAATTGAACTCGATCCTTAATGTACCTTTATAAACCAGCCCATCCATTTGTATTTCTGTGGTGTGCCATTGTATATCCTGTATGAATACCAAAGACAGGGCATCCCACTTTTATAATATATTTGGAATAACTGACGCGTTTTAACACAATCAGTTAAGATGAGATAACCACCAGCGAGAGAGTCTGAATGAAAAGAGGAGACTATTTTACAAAGACTGGGACATTTTAAGTGCATTGCCCCATATTGTGTAGCGAGTAGTGTCCAGAGGGACATTATCATCTTAACAGAAGCTGTACTTGATGGTCTTTCCAGAAGACTTTTTTTCCCCATCTTTACTTATATCAATAGAGTAAGTATCTCAAGACTTCTCATTTGCAGAGTGAGGGCAACATCTGGCTTGGTAAGCAGCCTCGAGTATTACACCTGGTAAAAACCAACATACAAAGCACATGGCGGTTTCACAGCACTGCGTGCTGTGCCCTGGCTGGAAAGGGTCCACATGCAGCTGGGGACGCGCGTGTTCCCGCACAGGACAGGCCCCTCAACGGGTTATGCCAACCTCTAGAGCACCAATCCCTCAGCTCTGCCTTGTGCGTGTGGTGGGTCTCATATCTCCAAAGGCTTCCATCATGAGGAAGAATTTTACCATTTAAGTGCTGGGATCAATATGTAGAGCAAAAATGAGTCACTTGCCATTTTTCTGTACTTTCTTGAGATTTGATAGGATGCCACCAAAGTCCACAGATCCTCATTTTGAACGAGGGGATTTGGGACAGCATTGGCAAGTGACTCTTTGTTCCTGAAGTATGCACAGCATATAAATTTTGCAGCTTTTGGTGTGAAAATCTCATTTTCAAAAAGAAAAAAGTTACAAAATTGTTCAGGTGTAAATATAAACTCAAAATAACACAATTAAAGTGTTTCCTTGAGAGGTGCTGGCCTCTTTGTTCTTTCTACCTCCTTCCATACAAGCTTAAAACGCATGAGCTTTCTCTCATTTGAGTTCCCTGTGTTGTACCCAAGCTGGGAAGCAACCTCAGAAGGGTCTTGGGTGTCTTCAGAGGGCTAGGAGACCAAAGTCCACAGCTTAGAGTTGTCAAAGGCCCAGATCTAAGGGCTCATCCCTGCCCAACAGCAGCCAGAGTGACTGCTGAAACATGTGGGCAAGGGAGCAATAGTGAAGACATCACCCATGCTCTCTCAGCTTGTTTGGTGGAGCAGTGCTCACCCACGCTGGGATGTGAGCAGCGGGGCAGAGCAGCTGTGTGGGGGAAGCTGGAGGAGATGACTTTAAAAATCTCTCTTTCAGGCTGGAAGAGCCAAACTCTCCAGAGCATGTCCAGCCGAATTGTGGGACTCCGTTTCCTTACTGGGGAAACGGGTGGTGCAGGCAGTGTGCCGGATCCTGCTCAGGCTCTCCGCTGGCCTGAGAACACTTTGTTTTATAGCTTTGATGAATGAAACTTCCAAACTAGTTTGGTCAGTTTGATGTAGATGTAAAAGATCTTTAAAATACCTGAGGTTTCCCTTAAAGTCTTTTACCTAAATTTCCTGTTAACGCACGATAAATATCCATTCTGCTACTGTATTGTACCTGAGAAGTTCCGGCCTCCCACGTCTGGGGGAGATTTGGCAGTCACTACTTTATGAAGTAGTGAAGTACTTCTAGCAGCTTTCTAGCATCCCTGCTGTGCCTGGCAGCTTTCGTGTGGACGCCAGGAGGTGGCCCACAAGTTATGAAACACCTTAAGAGAAAATCAGCAACATGCATGTCAAATATTCCTGTTTGAGCAAATGATTAGACGGAAGCCTTGCACAGCAAGATTTAACACATTCAAGTGGCACTTCTTATTAGGGTGTAGCAGACTTGTAACTTGATTTCATTGGCACCAGGACTTTATTTCCTCCTTTCTGAGGAGTGATCCATGTGAATAAGCTAAAGCTTACCCGGACGGTAAGGTAATTGGCATACCTAACTGCAGGGAGCAGCTTTACCCATATTTTCTGAAATACAGAGTCAAAGTGGACCATGTATTTCAGAGTCCCGTCCTCAAAGAATTGCTAACAGGTGGTTTTCTGGCAGCAGGGAGCAAGCCTGCATGCCTGGTTGGCTATAAAATGTGAACTTTGAATTGTGAAGACATTGAGAAGGGGGGGGAATAGTAGCAATCATTAGGTCTATAACCGATAGGACAGATGCTTCCCTGAGGAGTCAGCAGAAGTGTTGTTGGCACGCCTGGCGTGGTGGAACGTGCTCGTGAGCGATTTCCAGGGAACAGTTTCAGACAGTGCCAGGCCACACTACAAAGGCAGGTAAAAGTTGAGAGTCTCACACAGTCGTAAAAGTCTAAGTCTTCATATAATAATTAATGGCCTGTGGGGCCAGCATGTCTGAGGGAAGCATGTGTGTTGTGGTGTCATTCACCTGCGGGTGGGTGACGGTTCAGATGGGGCCAGTGAGCAGTGGTGGAGCAGTGGGCTGGGGAGAGCCACCTAACCATCTCAAACTAACTCACAGTGGACAGACGGGAACCCTCTGCTCAGGTCAGGTCTCTCCAAAGGAGGCTGAAGAACTGAGTTGGACAAGCAGCCATAAAAGCTGGATTGATGCCACTGACAAATGAGGGACTAAAGGTCAAGGAGGAGCTTTCTGCTTCCCTGAGAGATGGGAGATGCCTTTGCCTCTATGGCAAGCTGGCTTTTCCTCCTCTTGGAGCTAAGCCCTCCACTTACTCATCTCCACACCCTTATTCTGCCATCCATGGATTGGCAGCAGGTAGTCACTGTCCACAAAGTATGTATTCTCTAAGGATTATGGCAGGCGAGCAAGGAGGGGAGCAGTGAGGTTAGTTGGGGAGAGGCTGGCTGTCAGCAGCCGAGCTTGCATCTGCATGGGGTCACCTAGGCAAGGCGTCCAACCCGAGGCAGCAGACCCCGTGCCAGACCCGCTCTGCTATCACCTCAATGGCTCCCAGGATGTCTGCACCCTGTCCTGGCAGCTCAGACTCACATTAACAGAAGAAAACATGCCACAACTGCAGGGGTACATCAGATCCCCTCTCTGAATACAGAGCTGGAGCAGGGAGGGGAATCAGCATGAGCGCAGAGTCATTTCAAAGATCATCACTTCTACTTGTGCTTTTGTCTCCTTTCATCTGTAGACACCAGAGGAGAAACACGCTGGCCTGCTGTATCCAGTCCCTCTGAGTAATAACTCGTATAACTTCAGGGCTCCCGCTGATAAAACCAGTGGCACCGCACAGTGGGAGCTAGCAGAGGACACTGCGAGGTTATCCCTCACCTCTCAGCTCTCTCTTTCCCAGGCATCTGTGCACTGAAGAAACACTGGTGAAGGCGTGATCCTTCCCAGCTGCACATACAAATATGAAGTTCTTCTGGATAATCCCATTTTTCCTCCTGCAAGGTAGAGTCTTGGCTTAGAGGATAATAGTGTGGGTGAAGTAGGTCACACGTGCTGAGGCTGCATCTCTTCACAGGCTCTCACCCACACCAGGCTCAGCAGGGGTTACAACAAGACATTGTCTGCAGGGCAGGTTCACGGGAGTTGGATGTACACATGCAAGAATTTCCAGCATTGTTGTATGACCTTATGAGCATCTCACTGTCTGAGGGCAAACACATACAGATAATACTATGGCAAAGGCATGCATTAAAAACCTTAACTTTCTGGAAATACGGTTTCTTCCTCTCCATGGGCCCATTTTCCTCAGTATACAACAGCAGCAGCCTGACTCAACCATGGAGAAAGTTGCACCCTAAGCCTGTGGTCACAGCACTGTTGCAATCCTTCGACACCTAGGAAGACACCTAACTTAGGGAGATTTGATTTTTTAAAACCAAATATCAATGTCTGTTGGGACTATCTGCTCCTCCACTGTGCAGAGGGATGTTCCAACTGACACTTTAAGGTTAGACAGCACAACTGGAAAGACCAGAGCCCCAAACCCTTCCCCGCTCTGGTTCCCCAGAAACGGAGACATTGGAGGCAGTTCCTAGTTCATCCAGCTGGAGCAGGACATCGCGGTGTCTGTCCCCAGAGGCAAAGTAGAAGCCAGCAATGAGGCTCACCAAAGGTCTGAGCCTCCTCTGCCTCTTGGAACAAACCAAGAGAGCAGCCTTCCACCTCCCAGAATCAGCAGGAAGGGGCTAAGCATGGGCCAGGCTGCATGGTGCTGTGGGCTGGCACCAGCCAGCACACCAAGGGGCCCAGCAGAGCTCAAGTCTAGGAGAGGAGCTTACTGTCATCTCTTCTCCGGGGAACAGCTACAAATAGAGCTTCAGAGCTCAGCACTAGTCGCAAGGGCAAGTCTAGCTGGGCTTCCTAGGACCCACCCAAAAGAACGTGCTTGAGCCATGTTTGCTGAGAAGCGTGGGTTAGGGAAAGCTCAGCTACGAGCCCAACAGCCCTGGCAGAGAGAAGCTGGACTGGAGGCACTTTGCCTCTTGAATGCCTTTTGCCCTACGCTGATTTCCCAGTTCTAGAATTGGGTGTCATTCCCATCTGCCCTATACACTCTGTGAGCGTATGTGTCCTGTGCTTAGGGAGTGGCCACACTCATATGCTGGTTTCTTTGCAGACACTGAAGCTTTTCTGATGAAAAATGCTAAAGTCAAGCTGTGTTTACAAGCCAGCCTGATGAATGGGGATTTACTGCTGGAGGACTGTAATCCAGAGTCAGATTTCCAGGACTGGTCTTGGCAAGGCGATTCTTTGATGAATCACGGCACGCAGAGCTGCCTCTCCATGGTGGGGGCCAACAGAGTGCAGACAAGTCTCTGCGGCAGCACGGGCTACACAAGCTGGGACTGCTCAAATTCTCTGCTCTCTCCTTTGGGCAGCAGCCAGGGCTACCTGGTGGCAAACAGGAAAGGAGTCGCTCTCAGTAGCGTGGGAGGCCTGAAGGCCCAATGGCAAGATGTTGCAGACAGGAGCGTGTGCGAGGAGAAAGCAGGTAAGTGCCGCACACCCGGGGACCAGTGCCGCACACACACTGCTGGGGAATGTGGAAAGGCACATTCAGTGTCCTGGGGTCTTTCCAACCCTGGGTGCCCCACCAGAATGGGATCTGCAGTGTGAGCCAGAAACGCTCTACACTTCTCGGTGTATGAGATAAGGCTGTACCCTCACGGCTGCGTTCTGCCTGCTTGGAGGGATGTGCTGGGCAACCCTTGGAGCCAAGGGGAAGGCCATTTCTGGCCCAAAGTATTACAGTGAGCGGCCATTCCATCTTTCTGCTCTTTTCTTCCACAGCCACGGCAGAGCAGGACAGGTACTTCCCTGCAGCCCTTGCCAGCACACACGTGTATGACCACACAGCAGGCAACATGACCCTTGCGCTGGGTATAGGTCAAGAAGAGCTGGAGGAGCTGCTCTGGTTCTTCCGCAGAGAAGACCGTAAGTCCCATTGATGTTCCTGGGTTGAGAGTTGAAATAGAGATACACAGTCCTTGGCTGTTAACCCTCCTGCCTAACAGAGATGCCCGAGGGAATTACCCGAGGAGGTGATTTACCCCAGATATATAAACCCTCAGTCTCACCTGCAGAAGAAGCAGGCCATGGGTGAAGACAGGCATGAGGCTTTACTGAGATAGTGTCTCCTCCCAGAGAGGGGTTCAGCCTCTTTCCAGGCATAGCCTGCCAAGAGAGCAAAGGTCTGGGATGACCAGTGATTTTGGCAGGGTGGAGGGAGCAGATCGATACGAGCAGGTCAGTGCCCTGAGGATCAACTTAAAAGCCACAAAAATCAAGGGCGGAGCATCCGCTGCCATCTGTGCTGCACATCCCAGTCAGTGTTCGAAGGCAAAATCTACCTGCCTGAGTGTGGCAGTGGCGAGAAAGGCTGCAGAGGGGAGGAGCCCTTCTAGCAGTGCTCAGGGTGGGATGCTGCAGCTCTCAGCCTTGCTCCCACCCGTGGGCACAGCCGCTCACAGCTCTCAGGCAAGGTTGAAAAGCCATGCATGGCACATGTGGTCAGAGTGAGAGATACAGAACCCGAGGTGGGGAGCTGTGAGCAGCAGAAAGCAGTTGTGTAAGTCTTCTGCCCAGGGAGGGAGAGTTGCCTGAGGTTATCCCCAAAAATGTGACCTGGGTGCTCTGCTCTGGGTGCTGAGATGGACACCAGAACCTCTGCCCTCATCCTGCAGCCAAGCCATGGCACTGTCAGCTTGGGTATTCTCAGGAAACGCTTGGCAGGGCTCTGTGGGCCACAGCGCTCTGTGCATGCTAACGCTGCCTCTCCGTGCTTTCCCCCAGCGTCAACGTGGAATTACTCCGTTCTTGCACTTTCCTTCGTGGCCTTGATTTTGGGTCTTCTCCTCCTGGCCATTAACATTGTGCGAAACAGGTGAGTCAGGAAAATTTGGGGGTCTTTTGGTGTGTGGTGGTGCACTGAGACCCCCCCCCAGGCAGACAGACGTGGGTTTGGCAGGGCAGGGCAGCATGCCGAGACGCAGGGCAGGAACAAGCCCTGAGCAATGAGGAGAAGAGCAAAGACAAACTCCCTTTGAACTGTGCTTCATTGTAAAACCTTGCCTGACTCCCTGTTCTCCTTGTGTGTCACTTGGAATGAGCCACTTCACTTCTCCAGGCCCTGGATCCTCACCGGTAAAGAGTCTGCAACAGGGCTGTTGGGAGGGAAGTGACCTTAAATGTGTGGTGTGAGGTGCTCTCCCGTAAGAACAGGAGTGCATAGGGGCTCTGGAACAGGACTCCCCAGCCCTTCCCCGTCTACATTCCCACAGTGTTCCCTTGGGCCATACTGCTGCACAGCAACCCTGCAGCTGAGGAGCAACTTACTGTCTTCTACAGCAAGAAAACCTACAGCTGGGTCAGAGCTTTCATCTTAAAATGAGAGAAGAAGAGCTAATGTTACAAGTCTGCCATGCTCTCATTTTAAGGATGGCTTGCTGGGTGTTACTGCCTCGCTTTGCGCTGCGTGCTGTGTGTTCTCCAAGTGTAAACCCCGTGGCTGTGTGTACTCAAACACTTCAGACCACTCCCATGACACAGTGCAGCTGGCGGGGTTTGCCCGTAAGCAGCTAATGTGCTCCCAGGGCCAAGGTGCGAAGAGATGAATGTACCCATCGCTGGGGGTAGATGCCTGCCCCCGGGTGGGGGCTGGGCTCGCTGCTTCACTCCACATTTCCTTTTTATGCCTTCCCTGCAGGAAAAGGAAGATCCACGTGTATAGAGAAGCAGTGCAAACCACCCAGCAGGCTGAGCTGGAGGCCAAGCAAGCCCTGATGCCTGTGCAGGAGGAATACAGCCCGGCTGAACTGCGAAAGCAGGAGCCGGTGCTCCAGGATCAGAGATCAGGAGAAGTGGTGGTCCACTGGAAGGACGGGACCGTCACGTCTCTGTACACAGAGATCTGAGGATGCCCTACAACGGCAGCTGAAGTCAAACCATATAGGCCCTAAAGAATGTATCAGAACGTCTCAATTTGTAGTGATGGAAGTTTAAAAATGCAGTTTAGCCTGGGGAAACATAAGAGAGTAAAAAAAGAAAGCAGCAGAGCTGCACCAGCAGAGGTGGCTCTGGACTCGAGGCAAACCCGTGCCTCCCCCATTTCAGGTCCTGGCTGGCTGGTCTTTACCCGCTGCGCTTGGCTGCCTCCAGCCTTCTCTCCCGCGCCAGCTTCACCCCCTCCCTCAGATGCCGCCTGCCTCTGCCGCAAACGGGTGGGAGCCGAGCCGGGGCGGGAGGCGGGAGGCGGGAGGCTTTTCCTGCGGTCAGCCAGGGAACGCGCCGTCACATCCCTTCAGGAAAACAGCCACACTGAAGCGGAGGCGCTTTTGTTCTTTTCAGAAATCATCTTTATTAAAATACTTTCCAAAGTGGTTGATCGAAATCCTGTATTGAATCTCTCTCTCTATCATTAAGGTCATATATATATATATGTATATATGTACAAATATACATGTGGATATTTTACTCTGCAGAGTAACTGCAACTCCAGGAAGAAGCAGAATATTTAACCTGATAGAGCAAATGAAGCCGAACGCACAGCCCTTGGCCCTGGCTTGGGCACAGGTGGAGCCTGGTCTGCTTTAGGATTCACTTCACGCCCTTAGCTGGGCACATGTAGAAGCCATGAAATAATTCAAGACATTTTTGGAAATGCATTGGTCTTTTAAACAAAGGCTTTTCAGAGCGTGTCCTTGTCAGTGAAGCATCTCTCCTTGCAAAGCCCTTGAAAAGGAGCACTATAGTGTAAAAAGTTGATTAAAAACCCAGCTATTTTGGTATGACTTATTTCGATGCATGGGAGTCGGTTTCAGGACACCTGAGGCCTTCAGCCGACTGAAACAATATCTGCACCTTTCTTGTTCGGATTAAAAAAAATAAAAATTCCTCCTACTTATTGCTCGGTCAGAAGACCCATGAGATGAACAAGACGGGTGCCTCCATGCTTGATTAATGATTAATTCCCCCTTCCTGGGCTCCCGTCGCTGTGTGCCAGGTGCCCAAGCTGGCTGGGGGGCCCTGGGGATGGCCCTCGCCCTCCCGGTGGTGCCCGTGGCTCTGGCCGCTCCGGGAACTGCACGGATCCGCACGGAAAGCCAGGCTGGCCCCCGGTGCCAATGGCAGGACAGGGTGCAAACACCGCGGCAGTGCTCGGCCAGGGGGGACGAGAGCCGGGGCGGGGGCAGGCAGAGTGATGCCACAGCCAATTTCAGACTCTCAGCACCCCGTCTGCTCACTGAATTGTCACCACAGGCTTTGCCCCGGCGCGGAGACCGGGGCCACCATATGCCAGCAGCTGTTGCGGTGCCCATGAGTCTGTCGTGGATGGTCTCAGCCCTTGCGGAGCCAGGGGGGAGGGGGGTCTCTCGCCACCCCCTCTGCAGCCCATGGGGACGCGTCCTAAAATATCTTGAAACCTTTCAGCAAGGTGAGCGTGGGAGCCTTCCTCTTGCTCTGAGCCCGCGAGGACTTGACGGTGACCAGCTTGGCCTGGGCCACCGAGGGGATCTCCTTGTAGTTGACGGTGGAGAGGGTGTTGAAGGTGCAGCTGGCCAAGCCATGGCGGGTGGGCAGGGTGACTGGCGTGGCCACCGGTGGGCAGGGACGCTCCTCGGTGATGAAGAGTGGCTGGACAGGCAGGCTCTGCTCCGCCTGGTGCCGCACCTCCCGCACGGCTTCGTAGAAGACGTGCTGCACCCTCGCGAAGTCCTGGCACGCTGACACCTCATAGAAGAGGCACCCGAACCTGCTCGCCAGCGACATCCCTTCGGCTGCGGGCACCTGCCTGGTGGGAGTGGATGGGATGGGTGCAGCATCCCTTGGAGCGCTGCAACCACCCGAAAAGGGGAGCAAGGGGTGCAGGCGGGGAGCAGCGGACCCTGCATCCCACGCCTGCTTCCCAGTGAGCACTGGGGCAGCACCCACTCATCCCCCCCTCCTGGGACAAACAGGGGACATGAGTCCAAAAGAGCTTTGCCTTTCCTGAAATCCCAGAGCAACGGGCTGCACGGGTTCCTGGGGAATCATGCAACCTCCCATGCCAGGGATGCGTGCCAGGGACGCAGGGGGCTGGATGTGATGACAGCGCACTGGGAAGCGGGGAGGAGACGGGGCAGGTCCTTGCCATGAGGAGGGGGAAGCCTCTGTGCTGGGAGCATGGGGGGGTTCAGCAATGCACAGGGGGGTTCAGCAATGCGCGTGACTCAAGGACCCATGGGACCAACACTCAGCACAGCCCCAGAGCGACACAAAAGGCCAGAAAAACACACCGGGGACATCCAGTCCTGGCAGCGGGGATGAGGCAAGAAAGGGCTCCAGGGAAAGGGCACATCCAGAGGGGAGCGAGGAGCTGCAGCAGGCTCAAGCCCTGCCTGGGGACGGTGACGCTGCATTACCACGCAGCCGAAAAGCATCCCGCTGAAAATACCAACGGGCTCAAAATAAACACATCAACCCCTGGGCAGGAGAGCGGGAACCTCGGAGATGTAGGAGGATGTGGCGAACACCAACGGGAGTGGAAATAACCACAAAAAAACCAGATTTGGGTTTTGCATCCCAGCCGGAGGGATGGGGGGTGATCTGCGAGCTCTCCCTCACCGGGAAAAGACAGCCTTGCCCCGTGCCCGATACCTGTACTGCTCCATGTCCAGCTTGTTGCCCAGCAGGAGCACGGGGCAGCGACGCTGGCAGCCCTTCACGTGCAGGGCGAGGACCTCCAGGTAGGGCTGGCAGCCCTCGAAGCTCTTCCTATCATCGATGCTGTAGACAACGAGGAAGGCGCTGGCCCAGTGCAGGTAGCGCTCGCAGTTCCCGGGGCCGTCCTGGGGGCGAGAGGAGCAGCTGAGCTGTGGTCCAGCCGTGGTCCAGAGGGGTCATGCCAGGCGTTTGGCACCAGCAGTGCCCTGGTGCCTCACCTGGTCAGCGGTGTCCATCACCTTCAGCAGCACGGGCTGCTGGTCCACCAGCTCCTCCGAGGCATAGGTGTCCTCTGCAAGGAGAAGGGTGGTTGTGAGGACGGGCTGGGATGTGCTGTCTTCTCCAAAGCCAAGCAAAGCCTTGGATGCTTGGAGCACCATGGAAAAAGCTCATCCCCAGGTGAGGAACGTCCTCCACCAATGCCTCCCACCTCACTCCTTCCTGAGACAACATTATTTTGGGGGACTGGCATTGATGCTGCTGGGCAAGCCGCTGCATTTCCCCCTGCATGCTGCAAGCATGGGCTCCCACGGGAGAAGGAGGGAGGGGAAGGAGGCCAGCACGGCCATCACTGCACCCGGGGCTCAGCCCTTATCTAAATGCCATGACCTGGTGAGATAAAGCGAGCTCGGGGCTTGACACCGGGGCTGTTTCCCAATAAATCAGGCAAAAGGAGCACCCCTTTCTTTTGGAAGGAGGGCAGGCAGGGAAAGCTGCTCAGCCGTTCCCCTGGGAGGAAGATGCCTTCTCCCAGCTGAGTCCTAACGGATGCGTTTCAGAAAGGTTTTGACGTGGGAAGATGAAACTACATTCCCAAAAAAGATCCGAGGAGGAAAGGATTTATCCTTCTTTCCAAAGAGTTGCTGAGTTATTAGGGGCTGGAGTCGGTTCCTGGACAAGGTCCATATCTCCCTAATGTCCCCTATAAATTATTATTGTTCTTCCCCGCGCCCTGGAGTCAGGCCTAGGAAAATAGTTATTAATTACTCAAACGAGTGGAAAAAAAAAAATGCCCAGAACTACTTGCTGCAAAGTGCAGCCCCCGGGGCCGCCCACTCTGCGGCCCCCACTCGCTGCCCCTGCCCGACACCCCCAGGAGTGAGCAGGAGGCACAAGTTGCTCCCCAAGGACCCCCAATAATTCAGCTCTCAGCTTCTTCAGGGTGATGCAAGGAGCCGATGTTCCCCCATGGGACATGCCCGTGGAGAGAGCGCTGCTTTCACCTCTGTTTTTACAGGCGGGTTTGGGTCAAATCCAGCCCTTCTGTTGTTTTTCATGTAATTTTGGGTGTTGGGTTTTTTTCCCCCTTAAATGCCATATTCGTGGGAAACGCAGGAGACGGGAAGGATGCTCCGTGGGAGCTCATGGGGGACAACCAGGGGGAAACACCCGCACAGAAAGCGTCTTACCCAAGTTCGGATCATATTCGCTTATGAACCTCTTGGTTAGAAACTTCACGGTCAAGGCTGCAGGAGGTGAAAGAAGCGGGTGAGGTGGGCGTCCCCCCACGGCACCAGCACTGCCCCGATGCCCGGCTATCCCCATGGTGGCGGGGCACCCATCTCACCTGACTTGCCGGCCCCTCGGCACCCCAGGATGGCCACGTTGCATTCAGCGAGGGGGCTCTGGGGCGGCCGCTCGCCCCCGGCTCGGGGGTTGCCGAACATTG